AAAGAACATTTGATGTCAAAATAAAATAGAAAATGACTCTTAGATATCTGGTTCCCCAAAATGTTTCTTAGAGAGTCCACTAACAGGTTTTGATATCTTACGATTTTTTGAAAAAAGAAAACCCCAAGTCCTGTTGTTTCAAGTCCTGGTAGAAGTGGTCTATCTCATTTTAATCCATATGATTTACTCCTTTCTCCTTCCTGTTAAGTGTGTAAAAAGTTTTGGGGTGTGAATGAATGTCGCAACAATCCTTACCTTTCACCTACTGGATCAGAAGACTTATAGGTTTATTCATGCTCCAGAACGATGGCTAATAAATATCCTATTTAGACAAGGAATACTTGCTATATGGGTTAGTTCCAGCTTCACAAACAAAGAACAGTCTTTTTCTCAAGCAGGACAGTGCGGTCTTATCCACCACCAAATATGCTGATGATATGCAATTGGACATCTTGACCCTACAATGAGGAGGAGATGTGGTGGAAATCCTGACCTGGTGGCTGGAGGCTGGGAGGAACTGGATCCAGCAAAACAGTTTGTGATTGAATCCCAGCAAGGCAAAGCTGATGCTCCTCCAGACACTTTGTGGTATCATGTGTAAGAGTTGCTTCATTCATTGCCGAATAAAGACTCCATGAGACGCAGGCTCCTACGAAAGCAATTGACTCAGATGTAATGCAGGTGGTTACAAACAAAGCCAGGGTTGGCTTGGCACAGGTTACATAGCATTTTATAGTCTCCCCATTTCCTGCACTTTGCAAATCCCACCTGCTGACCGCCCCCGCCCGCCTTTGCCCATCCTTATCTCGCCCCTCACCCCCAGCTCTCCCCACCTTGGGCCGATGGCAGGTTCAGCCAGGGTCATTTGTTTTCGGCAGGTCCCGTGAGGCTGACTCATGATTGTGCTTGATGGGCGGTTGAGCACGGCTTGAGCTGTGAAGTTCTTTGTTTCTATTGTTGGCTGGTTGCCTACAGCGGCTGGGGGAAGTCCCACTTGTTACAAAGTAATTGATTCCTGCCGCGGGTTGATTGCTGCCACCTGTCGGCAGTTTACTTGCGGTTAGCGCTTCCTCTTTCAATCGCCTGCACCTGAGGCAAGGAAACTCACCAGGCGTGTTTGAACTTAGCTAGGCAGAATGGCGGCTAGCTTGAATGGCAAGAGGCAGGCTGAACCTGACATCATGGATGTTTGATCTATAGCTCTTCATGGGATGGAACCTCTCCTGGACTCATGGCTCCTACTGGAACAACTGGTGAAGAGTGTGGTTGGGACAGCTTCAGCTGGTCTGCCAGTTGGGCCCATTCCTGAATGCGAGACAGTGAAGGCTCACATCTTGCCATCTTTCAGCCAGACTACTCTAATTTGCTTTATGTGGAGCTGCCCTTGAAGTTGACTCAGAAGCTACAGCTGGCACAAAAGGTGACATTCCACACGCCAACTAGCCCAGGTTGATATCAATTTTGCAAGAGCTGCATTGGTTGCTAAGAAACTTCTTGGGCAGTTGAAGGTGCTGCTGATTATGCATGAAGGCCTATGATAGAAGAACAGTGGAATCTGCCTTTCCCTACAGAATCTAGCAGGGAGAGGAAGTTCTCAGCAGCAGCCCCTTCCATCTGGAACAGCTGTCCTCTGAGGACTCTGATGTCTCTCCATACTGTATCTTTATTGTATTCATTATAAGCCCCCTGAAATCATAAGAAGAGGTGGCATGCGTATATTTGGAAGTAAATTAACCAACC